TAACTTTTTGAGACTTTTTATAATAAATGAGTATTGAATTTTGTTAAATTGTGTTTCTGAACCTAATGAGATGATCATATGGTACTTCTTAGTATGTTCATATGGTGAATTACATTGATTGATCTTTTTAATGTTAAAAGAGCCTTGTATTCCTGGGAGGAACCCTACCTGGTCTTGATACATTATCCTTTTTATATATTGTTGGATTCAATTTGTTAATATTCTGGTAAGGATTCTTATGTCTATATTCATGAAATACTGGTCTGTAGTTTCCTTTTCTTTTATTGTATTTGTCTAGATTTGGTATTAAGGTAATGATGATCTCAAAAAATAAATTTGGAAGTGTTCTTTTCTCTTCTATGTCCTGGAAGCGAATGTGTAGAATTGGTAATTTTTCTTAAGTGTGGCAGAATTCATGAGTGAAACAATCCTGGCCAGGTGTTTTCTTTTACTACTAATTCTGTTTCTTTAATAGATATGGGACTATTCAAGTTATTTACTTTTCCTTGAGTGAGTTTTGGCAGTTTGTGTCTGTCTTAGTCTGCTCAGGCTTCCATAACAAAATACCATAGACTGGGTGATTTACACAACAGAAATTAATTTTCTCACAGTTCTGGAGACTAGAAGTCTACTATCAAGATGCCAGCCAATTGGGTTCCTGTTGAGAGCTCTCTTTGTTGTTTGTAGATGGCTGCCTTCTATGTCCAAGAAAGAGAGAGGGGGGCAGGAGAGAGAGAGAGAGACAGAGAGAGAGAGAGAGAATGAGAGAGAGAGGGAGGGAGAGATCACCGGTATCTCTTCTTCTTTTATAAGGACACCAGTTTAATTGGGCCAGCACTCCTCCCTCATGACCTCATTTAATCCTAATCACCTCCTCAAAGATCCTATCTCCAATACACTCATATAGAGGATTAGGGTTTCAACGTACGAATTTGGGGGGGACATAATTCAATCCACAGTTGTGTCTTTCTAGGAATTAGTCCATTTCATCTAAATTATCAAATTTATGGGCATAGAGTTGTTTTTAGTATTCCTCTTATTGTCCTTTTAGTGTCTGTAGGATCAGTGGTAAAAATTGTTGATATTGGTAATTTGTCTCTTTTCCCTTCTTTCCTTGGTTAGCCTGGCTAGAGGTTTAGCAATTTTATTGATATTTTCAAATAAACAGCTTTTGGGTTCATTGATTTTCCTGTCTTTTTTTTCTCCCTCTTTTCAATGTCATTGATTTCTGCTCTAATTTTTATCATTTCTTTCCTTCTGCTTGCTTTAGGTTTAATTTGCTTTTCTTTATCTTATTTCCTAATGTAGCAGATTGGTTATTGATTTTAGATCTTTTTTCTTTTCTAATATATGCATTTATTGCCATACATTTCCCTCCAACCACTCTTTAGCTGCTTATCACAAATTTTGATAAGTTTAATATTCATTTTCATTTAGTTCAAAATACTTTTAACTTTCCTTGAGAATTCTTTTACCTATACATTTTTTAGAAGTATATAGCTAAATTTCCAAGTATTTAGGACTTTTCTAACTATCTTTCTGTTATTGATTACTAGTTGATTCCACTATGGTCAGACTATATACTCTGTACATTTTTAGATTCTTTTAAATTTTTTGAGCTCTATTTTATGGCTTAGAATGTAGTCTATCTTGGTGGATGCTTCATTTACACTTCAGAACAATGTGTATATTGTTGGATGGATTGTTCAATAAATGTCACTTAGGTCAAGTTGGTTGATAGTGCTGTTCAGGTTATATATATCCTTACTGATTTTTCTGTCTGCTTAATCTACCAATTACTGAGAGAGAGAGGTATTAAAGTCTCCAATTACAATTGCAGATTTGTTTATTTCTGCTTTCATCTCTATCAGTTTTTGCTTCATGTATTTTGATGGTTTGTTGCTATGTGTTAAATTTTTAGGATTGTTACATGCTCTCTTGGCAAATCGAGACCTTTATTACTATGTAATGTGCCTCTTTATCCCTGATTATCTTCCTTGTTCTGAAAACCACTTTATCTGAAATTAACATAGCTACTACTGTTTTTGATTAGTATTTGCACAGTGTTTATCCTTTAACTTTAAATTAAAAAAATTTATTTAAAAAATAGACTTTATTTTTTAGAGCAGTTTTGGTTTCACAGCAAAACTGAGCCAAAGGTACAGAGTTCCCATGTATCCCCTGTCCCCACACCATCCCTTAACTTTTAACTTGAGTCTTTATATTTAAAGAGTTTCTTGTAGACAACATACAGTTGAGCTTTTTTCTTTTATCCAATTTGACAATCTTTATTTTTTGACTAGTGTGTTTAGGCCATATTTATATAATATTTAAAGTGATTATTGATGTAGTTGGATTTAAATCTACCTTCTTGCTATTTTCTATTTGTTGTATGCATTCCTTCTTTCTTTTTCCTCTTTTTCTGACCTCTCTGGTTTTCCCTGAGTATTTTTTATGATTCCATTTTATCTCCTTTCTTGACTTACTATTCATACCATTTTTAAAAACCTTTTAGTAGTTTTCCTAATGTTTACAATGTAAATTTTTAAATAATCTAAGCCCATCTTTAGATAATTCTGTATCACTTAACGTGTAGTACAGATACCTTATAATAGAATATTCCTAATTTCTCCTTCCTATCCTTTGTCAGATTGTTGTCACTTGTTTCACTTTTACATATGCTATAAACACCAAATACATTGTCATTAATACTGCCTTACAGTTATAATTTAGTGGAGTTAAAAATAAGAAAGATAAAAGTTTATATTTTATCTCCATTCCTTTCTAACACTCTTTGTTTTTTATGTAGATCCAAGTTTGTGATCTATATCATTTTCCCTCTGCCAGAAGAACTTCCTTTACAATACTTTGAGACATTGTATGAGAAGGTCTTTATTTCTCTCTCACTTTTTAAGATAATTTTTTGGACACAGAGTTCTAGGTTGGCAGTTTTCTCTCCTTTTAATGCTTTAAAGTTGTCATTCCATTATGTTCTTTCTTGCATAGTTTCTGATTACAAGTCTGCTGTAATTCTCATTTGTGTTTTTCTCCCCTCTGGCTGCCTTCAAAATCTTCACTTTGTTTTTGCTTTTCTGCAGTTTGAATATGATATGCCCAGGTGTGGGATTTTGTGTGTGTGTAGTTTATTAAAAATTTATCCTGCTAGGGGTTCTCTAAGCTTCTTGAATACGTGGTTTTGTGTCTGTCACTTATTTTTGAAAGCTTTCAGCCATTATTTATCCAATTATTTTTTTCTGCTTAGATCTTTCTTTCTTCTCCTTCTGGTATTCTATTCATGCATATGTTACAACTTTTGATATTACCCCACCGTTCCTGAATACTCTGCTATGTATTTTGTTTCCATTCTCATTTTCTCTTTGGATTTCAGTTTGGGTAATTTGTATTGACCTACCTTTATATTCACTAATTCTATCCTTGGATGTGTCAGGTCTACTGATGAGCTCATCAAAGTCATTCCTCATTTCTGTTATCATGATGTTGATTTCCTTTTGATTTTTTCTTATATTTTCCAGCACTCTAATGATGTTATCCATCTGATCTTTGATTTTGTCTACTTTTTCCATTAGAGTTCTTAACATATTAATCATAGTTATTTTAAATTTCCTGACTAATAATTTCAACATCTATTTTGTCATTTGTGAGTCTAGTTCTGATGGTGCTTTGTCTTTTCAACTTGTGTTACTTCTTACCTTTCAGGATATTTTGTAATTTTGTCATTGCTCTTGCAAGCCAGATGTGTTGTATAGAGAAGTAGATACTGAGGTAAATAAGACTTTAGGGTGAGTATTTATATGAATCTGGCCAAGAGTTGGGCTATGCCTGATGTTTGTTGTCTCTAGGAGTACCAGAGGTATTAAATTCCTCTAGTGATCTTGCTTTTGTCTCCCCTCTTGTCATCGTCCCTTTCCTTTGTGTTGCACCTCAGAGAAAGTTTGTCTCTTGTAGCTTTCCCAGCTGTAATCCACGTCATTTTAAGTGGAGGCTTATTATCTGATTGTAATGTAGGGGGAGGAGGGCATTCTCTAATCTTTGGACTAAGTGTCAGTCTTTGGAGTGCACAGTGAGCCTGTGTCTTGGTAGTGTGGCGTTCACAATTGTGTTTGCTCCTTTCCAGGGTGCTGTTGGTTGAATTGTATTCCCCAAAAAGATATGCTGAAGTCTAAACCCCTAGTACCTGTGAATGATATCTTATTTGGAAACAGGGTCTTTGAAGATAATGAAGATAAGATGAGGTCATATTGAATTAGGGTGGGCCCTAAATTCAACAACTGGTATCCTTATAAGGAGAGAGAGATTTGAAGACAGAGAGGAGACACAGGGAAGAAGGCCATGTGATTATGGAGGCAGAGAGTAGAGTGATGTTGCCACAAGCCAAGGAACACAAAGGATTATTGGCAAGCAACAGAGAATCTAGAAGAGGCAAGGGAACAGTTCTCTCAGAGAGACTTTGGAGGGAACATGGCCTTGCCAACATCTTGATTTCAGACTTCTGGCCTCCAGAACTGTGATAATTTGTTACAGCAGCACTAGGAGACTAATATACAAGGATAAAGCTTTTTTTCCCTCTCCCATCTAATACCTTCCCTGACTGTAGCATTTCCAGTATATGTTTTTGAAACTCTCTCCCTTGTATACTGAGGCTTCCTTTTCTTTCTTTTTTTCCCTTAGATTAGATACATTGGGGCTGGAGCAGGTCAGCATTCCCTTCCCCTAGCTGGGATAAGATTTTACTGTTGCCCTATATTATTTTTGTCTTTCTTGCAACCTGTAGGATAATCTTGGAAATAAATGGCTAGAGGCCCTCACAACTCCACAGAAAATATTTTGAGTCAACATAAAAAGTATCTATCATTTCACAACAATGTAAATATATTTAACACTTCTGAACTGTACACTTAAAAATGTTTAAGATGTTAAATTCCATGTTATGTATTTTTTATCACAATTAAATATAAACTGTATGTTTTCACACATCTTACCAAAATGATCTTCATGTTGCTGCCAAGCACAGTTCGGATACTTGGAGGCTGTATGGTGCCAATGGACGGCTAATGGAAATAAGCTATTGAAGCTGGGCTGTTGAAGTGCCCAACATATGACTCTTCCCCTCAGTAGGTCCTGGAGACTGCTTTGAAGGTGGGACAACCTGTGGCACCACATCCTAGAAAATTGGACAGTAAGAAGAGAGAGTTAGTAACAACATAAAACAACTTCCATGAATCTATAGGAATAACACTACAGATGTAACTATGTAGAAAAATAGATGTAATTATCTCAAATACAGAGGATTAAACAAAGGATAAATTCTGAAAAGCTAAGCATAAGTGGTCTATAATCATTACTTCCATTTTCTCACCAGCCACTCTTATTTTACGCCTTGTAATCTTCCTTTTACCTCAATATCTAACTGAAGTGGTTCTTTAAAAATTCACCAATTTTAATCTTACAACCACATAAAAAAAAGGATTGCTTTCCAGGTCTCATCCTTCTGAGCCTGAGAAAAAAGAGCAGAGCTGGAGGTATCATAATCCCTGACTTCAAAATATTCTACAAAGCTATAGTAATCAAAACAGCATGGTACTGGAAACCAGAAACACAGATCAATGGAACAGAATTGAGAGCCCAGAAGTAAACCCGCACATCTATGGACAGCTAATCTTCAACAAGGGAGCCAAGAACATACAATGGAGAAACAAAAGTCTCTTCAAAAAATGATGCTGGGAAAATTGGACAGCCACATGCAAAAGAATGAAAGTAGACCATTATCTTGCACCATATACAAAAACTAACTCAACGTGGATTAAAAAACTGATAAAGAATGGATAAACAATTTAATGTAAGACCTGAAATCACAAAACTCATTGAAGAAAACAGGCATTGTGCTCTTCAACATCAGTCTTAGTAGTGTATTTTTTTTTGGTGCAGAAGATTGGCCCTGAGCTACCATCTGTGCCATTCTTCCTCTTTTTGCTTAAGGAAGATTGGCCTTGAGCTAACATCTGCACTGATATTCCTCTACTTTGTACATGGGATGCTGCCACAGTGTGGTTTGGTGAGCAGTGAGTAAGTCTATGCCCAGGATCTGAACCCACAAATCCCAGGCCACCAAAACAGAGTGTGTGAACTTAACCCCTATGTTACTGGGCTGGCCCCCTAGAAGTGTACTTTTGAATACCATGTCTACCAGGCAAGGGAAACAAAAGGAAAAATAAACAAGTGGGACTACATCAAATTAAAAAGGTTCTTCACAGCAAAGGAAGTCATCAACAAAATGAAAAGACAGCCTAGAAATTAGGAGAAGGTATTTATAAACCATATATCCTATAAGGGGTTAATATCCAAAACAGATAAAGAATTAATTCAACTCAACAACAAAGAAACAAACAACCTGATCAAAAAATGGGCAGAGGATATGAACAGACATTTTTCCCAAGAACATATACAGATGGCCAACAGGTACATGAAAAGCTGTTCAACATCACTAATTATTAGGGAAATGCAAATCAAAACTACAATGAGATATCACCTCATGCCCGTTGGAATAGGTATTATTAAGTGTTGGAAATAACAAGTGTTGGAAAGGATGTTGAGAAAAAGGAACCCTCATACCCTGCTGGTGGGAAGGTGAACGGGTGCAGTGACTATGGAAAACAGTATGGATACTCCTCAAAATTTAAAAATAAAACGATTGTATGATCTAGCTATTCCATTTCTGGGTATTTATCCAAAGAACACTAAAACACTAATTCAAAAAGATATTTGCACCCTATGTTCATTGCAGCATTATTCACAATAGCCAAGACATGGAATCAACCTAAGTACCCATCAATGGATAAATGGATAAAGAAGATGTGGTATATGTATACAATGAAATACTACTCAGCTATAAAAAAAGAGGAAATCATGACATTTACTACAACATGGATGAACCTTGAAGGTATTATGCTAAGTGAAATAAGTCATACAAAGACAATTAGTGTATGACTTTACTCACGTGGAGGAAACGGAAAAGAGATTGGTGGTTACCAGAGGAGAAGGGGGTGAGGGAAGGGCAAAAGGGGTAAAGGGGCACATGTGTATGGTGATGGATGGAAACTAGACTTTTGACAGTGAACATGATGCAGTCTATACAGAAGACAAAATATAATGCATACACTTGAAATTTTTATAATATTATAAACCAATGTGACCTCAATAAAATAATTTTAAAAAATAAAGAAAGAATATGTATTCTGTAGTTGGTGCATGTGGTTGTTTGTATATGTCTATGTCAATTAGGTCAAGTTTGTTAACATTATTGTTCAACCCTTCTATATACTTATTGGTTTTACTTGTCTGATGTTCTATCAGTAAATGAGAGATGTGTGTTAAGATATCTGATTATGACTGTGAATTTATTTATTGGATATCTCTCAATTTTTGCTTTGTACATTTTGAGTGTTAAGTGCATACAAATTAGAATAATTTTATTTTCTTGGTGGATTGCCTCTGTTATCATTATAAAATATCTCTATGTTTAATGAAGATTCTTGCCTTAAAGTCAACTTTGTCTGATATTAACATCTCTACATCAGTTTTCTTTTGGGTAGTATTTGCATTGTATACTACTTCCACTCTTTTACTTTTGGTCTTCCCATATCCTTTCATTTAACTTGTGTCTCTTATAGACAGCACATAGCTAGATTTTGTTTTTTCAGCAGTCTAATAATCTTTGCCATTTAATTGATGTGTTCAGCCCATTTACATTTAATATAATTATTGATTTATTTGAGTTTAACTCTACTACAGTCATGCACTGCATAATGACATTTCAGTCAACAATGGACCACATATACAATGGTGGTCCCGTAAGATTTGTACCACATAGCCTAGGTGTGTAGTAGGCTATACCATCTAGGTTTGTGTAAGTGTACTCTATGATGTTCACACAACAACGAAATTGCCTAACAACACATTTCTCAGAATGTATTCCTGTCATTAAGTGATGTGGGGCTGTATATCAATATTTGCTTTCTATTTGTCTTGTCTGTTTTGTTACCTTTTCTCTCTTGCCTTGTTTTGCACTTATTAGGTAATTTGTATCATTACATTTCTTTTTTTGTTTATTTCTTCACTATACTTTCTTTTACTGTTTTTTTTCTTTTTTGAGGAACATTAGCCCTGAGCTAACATCTGTGGCTAGATGTGGCTAAATGGAGGGACAATCTTCCTCTATTTTATATGTTGAATGCCTGTCAGTTTGATAAGTGTTGCACAGGTCTGCACCTGGGATCTGATCCAGCGAACCCTGGGCCATCAAAGGAGAGTGTGAACTTAACTGCTGTGCCACTGGGCCAGCCCTTCTTTTACTGGTTTTTTAAAAATAATTCAGGATTACAACATATATTTTTAATTTATTAAATTATAATGCAAATTAGAGAATTTTATTAACTCCATTTATCCTCCTTCTTCAACTGCTGTTATGTATTTTAATCACACATACACAGACATAGCCCACATGACATTACTATTTTTGTTTTATAAATCAATGGACATTGAGATCTACCCATGTATCTAATCTCTCCATTGTACTTCATTCCATTGTATATCATCAAGCTTTCATTTGGGATCATTTTACTTCTGCCTGAAAATCCTTAATATTTCCTTTGGTGTTTGGTGGCACATTCTCTAAGTTTTGGACCATCTAAAAACATCTATTTTCCTTTCATTTTTGAAGGCTATTTTCACTGTATATAGAATTTTAGATTGGCAGTTACTTTCTCCAACATTTTGAAGATACAATTTCATTATCTTCACATTGTTTCTGTTGAGAAGTCAAAGCCAATCTAATTGCTACTTCTTGTTAATGTAATACATCTTTTTTCTCCAACTGCTTTTAAGATTTATTTTCTTTATTTTTTAGCAGTTTGTATTAAAATACACCTACATGAGGTTTTCTTTTTTTTATTCTGCTTTGATTTACAGCACTTTTTGAATCTATGACTTGATGCTTGTGATAGGCAGAAGTCTAAGATGACCTCCAGTGATCCTTGCCATATTATAATCACTTCCCCTGGAGTGTGAGAAGGACTATGAATACGATGGTATTTCACTTGTGTGAATAGTTTATGTATATGGCACAGGTGACTTTAAGAAAGGGAGATGATTCTTGGTTGGGCTGACCTAACCCAGTGATCCCTTAAAAGGAACAGGGCTCTTTCTGGTGAAAGAGACTTGAAGCAGGAGAGGGATTTGCTGTCAAGGAGATTCTCCATTGGCTTTGAAGATGGGGGGGACTATGTGGCAAGTAATGCAGGCAGACTCTAGGAACTGAGAGGAACCCACAGCTGACATGCAGCAAGGAAACAGCAAACTCAGTCTTACAGCTATGTGGAACTGAATTCAGACAACAATCTGAATGAAGCTGGATGTAGATTCTTAGCCAGAGCCTCCAGAAAGGAATGCAGCTTAGCCAACACCCTGTTTTCAGCCTTTATTATACTGATCAGAGAACCCAGTCATGCCAGGCCTGGTCTCTGACCTACAGAACTGTGAGGTAATAAATGGATGTTGGTTTAAGCCACTAAGTTTGTGGTAAATTGCTATGCAGCAATAGCAAAATAATACAATGCTTTGTTACTTTTGGAAAACTCTTAGTCATCATCTCTTCGAATATTGTTTCTGTGCCATTCTCTCTCTCCTCTCCTTTAGGACTCCTATTACAAATATATCAGCTCCTTACACACACTAAGTACCAGGCACCATTATAAGTGCTGGAAATATTTCAGTAAACAAAACAAATATTCCTGTCCTCATGAAGCACCTTTTAATGGAATCCTGCTCTCCCTCCTCCCATAGTTTTCTTCATCACAGTTGATCCCAGTACCATCTAATCAGTTGTATAACTGGTTCGATCTGAAATCTGTGGTTCAAACTTGATTCCTCCTCTTTAAAATTTCTCCCCTATAGACAATTATCAAATCTTGGTAACTTTTACCCCCTAAATGATTCTTAAATCTGACCCACTGCATTATATCTCCACTTGCCATGATCCCAGCCAAGGTTCACAATTATTTCTCACTCAAAGACTGCAACGGCCTCCTAACTGATCTATCCACATACACACTTGCCCTCCCTTCAAACCATTTAGCACACTGTAGAAAGAGTAAACTAAAATAGGTA